CTCTCTCTCTCTCTCTCTCTCTCTCTCTCTCTCTCTCTCTCTCTCTCTCTCTCTCTCTCTCTCTCTCTCTCTCTGTGTGTGTGTGTGTGTGTGATAAATCCGAATGAAGATACGTTGGTTGATGGGCAGGTCTTGATATGTATAGGTACAGACATAGATCCCGAGATAGATCCAGAGATCAATCTATTTATAGATTGACTGTCCTATGTGTATAAGATTGATCAATAGATTGATTGACAGATCGTTAAGTCGATCGATTTCTTTACGACAATGGAATCTTCTCTACTCCTGAGATGATGATAGATGCGGAAGACCATGCTATTCATATGAACCTCTCTGTAGACAGGTTGATTTATCGAGAAAAAATAGATTGACCGGCAGACAGTTTCCTCCACTGCACATAGACCACCTGTTGCCTGAGATGATGGATGTCACAAGAACAGACCTTTTCCCCTTTTTCACATAACACATCGTACCCTTACTTATCTGATGGCGTTTCTGGCTCCAAGATGATCTTTCGTTTTGCTGAGTTTAGCCCCTAACATCGTTGTTTCTGGTTCCAAGAGGATCTTTTTTTTTTTTTTTTTTTTTTTTTTTTTCGTTTTGCTGAGTTCAGCCCCTAACATCGTTGTTTCTGGTTCCAAGAGGATCTTTCGTTTTAGAAGTTTTGCAGCAGAAATGGCGTTTCTGGTTCCAAGAGGATCTCTCGTTTTGCTGCCCAACGGGGCTTTAGTTGTCAAAAAAAAAAAAAGAAAAAAAAAGGATCTTTCGTTTTGCTGAGGTAACCGGATTCGAACCGGGAACGTCTCAATCAATTGTTCACGGTGTGCACGGTCGAGCTGCTTTTTTTTTTTTTTTTTCTTTTTTTTTTTTTTGAAAGAGCTACTATTCCCCGGAATGACACTGAAGGTATGCAGAAATAGGGAAAAAATGGGACCCCGCTACGTTTTCGAAATTTTGCGGCACAAATGTGGAATCGGCGGTCTGAGAGATCTATGTGTTGCAGGGAAAATGGGACCCCGCCTGCAAAAAATTTTGCAGTGAAACTACGGGGACCTCTCTAAAGCTGCAACGGAATCGGCGTTGATTTCTGTTTAAAACTTTTTTTTTGTTTTTACAAAGACAGCGCACTCTGCTAGTGATGGTGATAAGAGGCCCCACCACTGGAATCGACGGCCCGTTTTTTTCTGTTTAGGGCCTTTTTTTGTCTGCCCTCGGCACGATATATGGTAAAGGTCCTGGTAGTTTAAGAAGCTCCAATCTCCAAGCTCAGCGACGACAAATCAAGAAAGCGAGAGAATCTATAGCCTCAAGAAAGAGAGAGAATCTATAGCCTCAAGAAAGCGAGAGAATCTATAGCCTCTTCACTATTTAGAGAGTCCGCATTCGGAAAGAAGATCTCTGTCTATTCTATTGGTGTACATTGTCTATCGACTAGCTCGTGTGTAATAGATAGGGCCTCGCCGCATTGCGCACCAAATGTGCAAAATAGAGTATGTATCTTAAGCCAGCCAGACCCCCCCAGACCCCCCCAGATTCCCCCAGACCTTCGACTACACACGCCATATCTTTTGTCTGTTTCACATTTGCTGAGTGGTGTTGTGAGGCCCATAATGTATGATAATTCGTGTAAAGGATAATCTTTCTCCTCGGAGGAAATGTGATGAGCGCGGGAGGAAGAGGGGAGGCACCGGGCCCGGGGGGGAGAGGGGGGGGAGGAGGGGGAGGACGGGGGGAAGGAAAGTAGGGTCGTCATCTATCGTTGAGTCCACGATGGATCAGCAGCAAGCAAGCAAGAACCTACCGTCTTCCCCCGAATAGCACCTACAGTCATTATGCCGGCATTTGGGGCAACATTCAGTCTAGATACAGAGCGATAATGACCGTGAAGTTCTATTCGGAGGGGAAGACGGTAGCGTGGACGCCCAGCCGTATCAACACGTGGCAGAGATCGCCCACGTGTCACAGCTCCATCGTCGGCTAAACGACAAGCACCCAACACGAAGCGATCCGCAGAAGGTAATGGATCCGAAGGACAAGAGGAACAGGCAGGTGCAGGCAGGCGCAAGGTAAGTGAAGAAACGCGGAAAGCAGGCGGAAGACAGCCGGGAACACGCGGAGACGAGCGGCTAACATGCGGAGACAGGCGGGTAGTAGCAATCGAAAGGCGAGCAAGACTTGAGTACGAGGAAGGCTGGCGGAAGGCTGGCGGAGGGCAGGCGAAGATGGACCAACTAAAGAAGGAGGGAGACAGAGACGGCTAAAGGCGAGCGAGGAAGTGTTATCCCAACGCACATGGAACTGCGACTGCATGAGGTATGACATCATCGTCTTGAAGGAGGGATCGTTGCGGAAGGGAGGCGGAGGCCGACCGACCAAAGGGGATAGACAGACACGGCAAAAGGGAGGGAGGAGGAGAGGGTGGTATCCCAACGCACGGGCAACTGCGACTGCATGAGGTATGCCCCCACCTTCTTGGACGAGGGATCGTTGGGTTTTTTTTTTTTTTTTTTATCGTTGGGTTTGCTGCCCGCCAAGAGAGACAAAGACTTACTAGTATAAGGATATTAAAAAAAAACAAAAAAAGACTTACTAGTAGTTAGAGGAGAAAACCCCCTCAGGCGGAAGGCAAGCGGAGGCAGGCGGAGGCAGACCGACCAAAGGGGACAGTCAGACACGGCAAAAGGGAGGGAGGAGGAGGGGGGGGGGGGTAGGTGGTATCCCAACGCACCTGCAACTGCGACTGCATGAGGTATGCTCCCACCTTCTTGGAGGAGGGATCGTTGGGTTTGCTGCCTGCCGAGAGAGACAAAGACTTGATGATGGGGACAAACACCCCTCCGGCGCGCGCCGTAGTGCTCGGCATTGCCGGCGCGATGAGCGCTTCCGCCATGGTGAGCCCGTAGCTAAGGCCAAGTGTCGACTTCCCCATCCATTTCACGAAGTACGTGGCAACTCGATCCCCCAGGCCGGTCTTCACGAATCCCCTCGCGAAGAAGAAAGAGATCACGATCAGCCATATCACGTCGCTAGAGAAGGCGCTGAATGCCGCGGAAAACGACAAAGTCTTGGTGAGCACAGCGGTGGTCAGGCCGAGGAAAGCCCATGCGCCGACCGGTAGCGGGCCAAGGACCAGTCCCGTGATCGTAGACGAGAAGATGGCGAGCAGCTGCCAAGCTGCAGGGGAGACGGCGAGGGGACGTGGCGCAAGGAAGCGCACGGCAAGGCCTACACCCACGGAGAGGAGGAAAGGCAGCGGCTTGGCGCCCTCCCACGCTGGCGCGGGGATGGCGATTTCCACGGCCGCCGCCGGCGCTCCTTGTCCGCCGCTGGTGGTCAGGGTTCCCGCCGCGGCTTCCGCCCGAGCTGTCAAAAGCCCGCCGGCGCTGTTGCTGGTCAGCAATCCCGTGCTCGGTGGGGCCGACGAGCGGAAGATCGCGGCGTCGGGATCGCCGCGCAGCCATCTTGCAGTGCTGCCGAGGGGGAGATACGATTCCCGGCGAGAAGAAGAGCAAGAGGGGAGGACACGGCGGAGAGAGAGGGAGGAGAGCGCCGCCTCCGCGGGATTAGCACCGCAGGCTGAGGGGCAGGAGCTGACATGACGGCGATGGCGGAGACCCGCGGAAAATGACGCGCGCGGCGCAGCAGATGACACCAATGGCCGCTGCCCCGAGCTTGGAGAACTGCGCGCGCTTTTCGGTATCGGCGATGCCGGACAAGAGAAGGGGCGCGCGATGGCCGCTGATCTCGCTGAGCTTCCTGCCCCCCCGCTCGACCTCACGGGCGAGCCATTAGCTACGTGGCAACGGGTCAGCGCCTTTGAGACCCCCGATTTCGCCGTCAGCGAATCAATGCCGGCGGCAACGGGGCAGCCAACCGCGCTCTGCCCAAGGGGCACCACCACCATCGCGAATCTTTATCGATCTGCCGGATATGGCGGATGGATACGGCGGAGACCGGCGGAGATCGCCTGCGCTCAACAGCGCGCCTAGGACGCTGAGAGCGAGAAGGCACCCGCCGACGGCGATCCTCTGCTCCTCTCCCGCCGATCGCTCCCCACCCTCTCCCCGCCTCTCTCATGGCGTCCGCCTTGTGTTCCCCGGGACACCAGCGGATTTGTTCTTCGTGTTCGTTGGTGTCCGCGAAACCTTCATTTGCACTGTAGCGGTCGGGACGTACCCAGTTCCCGTTTTTTGTCGTTTTCGGGTTCAGACCGGGCGGGAAGCGAGGGGGGGGAGAGCGGGGGAGGGAGGAAACGCCAAACTGTACCTGTCAGTAACCAACTACGGTAGCAAGGCATGTTATGGGGCCTCCTTTTCTTGGGAGGGGTCTGATTTCGGCCAGAAACTGGGGGTAAGGGACTAGACTAGATGAGGGGTATTCACCGGAAATGGGGGCCTGCTTGGGGGCCATACATTTATGCCAGACCTGCAATGAGATCGCGACGAACAGACTACCTGGTGGACCCAGAAGCGTACTAATCACAAACGACAATCATCACAATCATCGCAAAGAAGAAGAGAGTCACAAAAAAGAGGAAAGATCAGAGCTCACAAGGGGATTTTTCCGACCGAACCTGGATGTAATTACGGTCAGGTGCACCCTTGAAAGTCCTAATGTGAGCACACCCGAAAGAGTGCTCTCCAGCCATCTCCTTCCCGCCGTCCATCGACCTTCGTTTTCTTCGCAGAAAGGCAAACAGGAAACGCGGCAGCTGTATCAATGACCTCGCTGATGACCCATCTGCGGGGCTCTTACGACTTGATTGGGAGTCCAAGAAAGTAACGGCCAAGCCGTAGTGAGCTGCATCTGCAATGATTGGCGTTTCCACACCCGCTTTACTCAACTCGACACATACTACTCTCTCCCTCACACAACAAACAGAGACATATGCACATAGGAACACACATCCACACCAACAACCACGCCTCTCTCTCTCTCTCTCTCTCTCTCTCTCTCTCTCTCTCTCTCTC